ATATACACACACACACATATATATATATATATATATATATATATATTATACTTTTTTTATACAATATAACAATATACAATTTTTTTAAATTAATTAATCAATTTATTATTTAATATATTGGGGGTGCAAGGATACAGAAATTTCATAATTCTGATCGGTTGGATATTTTAGTGTCACGGTTCATTATTTTTTCAATACAAAAAAGAGAAATTTTCATGCCCTTCCCAACTTGTAATTTAAATTAAGTGTTGCTAAAGCTACAAGTTTCTCAGTGGGTCTGTGCTCGACAATGCAACCAGGTGGAGTAGTCGAACGCAGATCCTTTGAGCCTTCTACACAGTGCCTCTTCAGAAGACACGTTGATAAATAATTTTTTAAAATCTGCATTGTTCGATACATAGTGTGCATTGAACATAGAGCACTAAGGGTGCAACATGCATCTGTATTGAGTTGTTCAATGTAGTGCTCTAGGTTCAATGCGCACTATGTAAGAACAGTACAGATTTTTGAAAATTATTTTATCAACGTTTCTTCTGAAGATGTGCTGCGCAGAAGGCTCAGTGGATCTGCATTTGAAAACTTGCGTTTTTAGCAACATTTAATTTAAAAACTGTACTTTGAGATTAAACTAATGTTTTTAATTAATTTAAATAAATTACAAATAAAGGGCATGGAAATTTTTCTTGATTGTATTGAAAAAAAATATTGAACCTTGACACTAAAGTATCGAACCAAATTGTGAATTTTCTGTATCATTGCACCCCCATTGTTTTGTGAACTGAAGATGAAGCTGTTAATCTAATTTGGGCAGAGAAATGTTTAACTAGAAGTTGATTTATTCTGTTTTAGTGGAAGAAAAAAATCGCCCTGTTCAGGGCACTCCCCACACTTTTCCCATAACCACCAGTTGCGCCACTCAAGAAGCTGGGACATGCCAGTGAAGCGTTGCTTCATGTCCTTCAGGTTAGTGTTTGTTCTTATTTGTTGTCTGTTAATATTTGTCCACAAAGGCTTTCGTTGTGTATTTTGACAAATTAACAGTTTAATTGTCATATGGCCATTGTAAGCATCCCGGGTCATAAAACAGCATCATCTATATTTGGAAATCTGCAGCCTTGTGTGGGTCACATGACATAGGGTGGCCACCCATAATACAAGTGGCACAGAAACACTTATAAAAATAACTGTAAATAAAATGACTTAAGCTCGATTTAAACAACCTTCAACAGAATCGTCTAAATAATCAAAGTTCAAATAGGAAATAATTTTAGATTTAACCATCAGAAGAGCAACATCTCTGTAATTTCCCAAAGTGTGTTCTTGTGACTGAGGCACAAGTTATTGGGTATTTAATTGGCATGCATACCAACTTAAAAAAACATAAAATGATATGAATATGCTCTGTTACACATCTATTCTATTGTTGTCATCATGGATGTATGGACAGTACATATTTGTGGCTAAGTATTTGGACTGATCTGGTAGTTTTTCAGTTTCTCTGGTGTACCCTGAATAAATGTGTTTGTCCTTTTTGTTTCTTTGCTTTTTAGCCAACTGAAGATCCAGCTGTGTACCTCCAGAGGAGATCTGTCTTCAGCCCTGTCTTGCTCTTGGATGAGTCCCGCTGTCTTTTGGCCATTGGAACCACTCCCATCACCACATTTGCCAAAGAAGACCTTGGTGAAGGTTTGCTGTATCTGATGAAATACTACTACACCATGCATCTCACCTATCCAAAGTGTGTGGCAACCCTTCTCTCTGTCATTCAGACTGAAGTGTTAAAGGACAATATCCATGAGAAAGACACACAGGCTCAAACAAAACAGCCATGGCAGAGTGGAACTGTTTTATTGAGAAGTAGAGCTGTTCCAGCTACGTGTTATTAACTTCCAGGTCTGTGTTTGAAAGTTTTGAACTGAGGGCTGCAAAGTTATTTAAATTCTTGGTCTATTTTGATAAGCTGATACAAAGTACTCATTTCTTCCATCAACACATGTGCCTCAAATGTTGCTTAAAAATGTGAAGATTTTGTAGCTTTATGTTCGTTGGTTATTTGTGATAAGAACACCAAATAATAAGTTCACCATATTTGTCTTGACATTCATGTGTACATTGATTGAAATAGTTGTTGCAATTTGAACAGATAATTTAAGTAAAGGTCATATGTGCACAATAGGGGTTGAACGAGTATATAATTTTTAAACTCGACATTAACATACTAAAACCGGAGTAGAACTCGAGTATTTGATGACGTCATACTTCTCAAGATACAAAAATAAATAAATAAATAAAACCGCAAAAAAAGGTAATTATTTACAAAAAAAAAAGACCAACAAAACATTGGGAGAGTATATTATGCTCCTACCATTTATCAAACTGCAAATAAGTCACAGGAAAAACTAAACTATTAGTTATTATTATTAAACTGCAAACGTGAAGAAACATGCAGCACGTCAGAAACTAAACTTAAACCGAAACTGGTTCTGGTTCGGTGGATTGGACCCGGTGTTACACCATACTCTGTGACCTGCAACAGTGCAACACCGCCCCCTACGGTCATACGGTGGTCACATAAAATGACGTCACTACGGATACTCGACGTTACATTTTTAACCTCGATAGATGTCCTGGCAATCGATGTGTAGATTACTCGAGTACTCTGTTAATGCCCTAGTTCACAATATATGCCTGATTTATTTTCGTGTAAATGCTTTGTCTTGTTATAAGGTGGAAAATAGTTCTTAATTGCAAAAGATCCATCTTGTTTAATTGCCCTTGTTTTAAGATTTTTTCTGTCAAAGTGAGAGAAAATGAAAACTGAAAGAAGCATGAACAGACTAGTATTGAGTTTATTTTACTTCATAAAGTACTTGTAATGAGTTAGGGTTAGCCTAGAAATATTTACTTATTTCAAGAAATCTTACCAGTTTATCTTACTGCACTGGCAGATTATTTCACTTAATTTGAGAAGATTCAGACTATTATCTAGTATTTTTTTTAACTTATTTTTAGATGGGCAATTTTTGCAGTGCAGCACTGCCCCCCCCCCCCCCCCCCCCCACACACACACACACACACAGGGCTGTGTGCTGAGCCCCCTCCTGTTCACACTGCTCATGTATGCCTGTGCACCTACCCATCCAGGCTGTCATATTGTAAAGTTTGCTGACGATGCAGCGGTGGTTGGATGCATCACAAACAATGACCAGTCCAGCTACAGGCAGGAGATGGTATACCTAGAGAGCTGGTGTAGGAAGAACAGCCTTCACATCAATGTGAAGACGACGAAGGACTTTTAAAATGGGCCAGTAAAAGGTGGAACACCTCTTGACTCCTGCATGTGTGGGGAGCCACAGCCTCCCCACACATGCTTTGCTTCGTAGGGAGGATGAGGATGAGGCTGAGTGGTTAGAGCAGTCGTCCTCCAATGCAAGAGTTGGGGGTTTGAGTCCACCAGCAGTCACATGCTGAAGTGTCCGTGGGCATGACAATGAACCCCTCATTACCTCTGATGTGTGTCCCATCAGTGTATGAATGTGATCTAAAGCACTAATTATTTTTTGAAGAGATCTAGTAGAGAGCTGTATGAATGGGTAAATGAGAGCACAGATTGTAATGTAAAGAGCTTTGAGTATCTTGATCAGAAAGAAAGGTGCTACATAAGTACAGTCCATTTAACATTTTTACAAAGGAGATGGTTGTGGACTTCAGAAGGAACAATCCCCCCCCCCCCCCCCCAAAAAAAAAAATACATAAGAGGATCTGCGGTGGAAGTGGTCTCCAGCTACAAGTACTTG